TGTGCCGGCGCCGCCTGGGCGCTTGTGGAGGCAAGCTAGCGGCGGAAATGGGGTCTGTGTCAGGTGAGGGGCTGGCTGGTTGTAGGGTGGGAGAGGGGGGCAAGGGTTGGGGATAGGCAGAATGTGTAGGTGTGTGTGCGTGTGCATGTGCGTGTGTGTGTGTGTGTGCGTGCGCATTTGTGTTTGTTTGTTTGGTGTGTGTGTCTGTGCGTGCGTTTGCGTGTATATGTGTGTGTGTGTGTGCGTATGTGTGCGTATGTGTGCGTATGTGTGTGTGTGTGTGTGTGTGTGCGCGTGGGGGGATGAGTGGTGTGGATCCGCCTGGCCGCTTGTGCCCCTGCGCCTGCCAACCACGTGCCACCAACCCGCATCCTCCGTCCCCCACCTCCGTCCCCAGCGTTCGTCTTCTACTGGGCCAGGCTGGCTTCGGTCTCTCTGACAATCCAGTCCATCAAGGCGTACACCTGCCTGATGCTGGCTGTATTTGCATCCTTCACGTGGCATCAAACCTTGATTCCGATGCTGAGGCCCATTCCCACTGGCAACCCCAGGGCGCCTTCAGGTGACAGCAACTTGATTTCGGGCACGTCTGCAGCTGCTGCTGAGGCCTGAATGCGTGCTCCATTCCGTGTCCCCTGCTGTGCCGCAAACTGCTCGTGCTCTGCCTTGGTTTTGGACTGAGCGTCGCCACGCCATGTTACCAAACCCATGCTGACCGCAGGCTGCTGGTCGACATCCAATCTGGTGTCCCTGGGGCCCGGAACTGCCTATCTTTGCAAGAGCTGCTGTGCTGAGCAGCTGTAACTCGCAAAGCCCTGCTCTTTTTCGGTCGGCGATCGACTTTGGATGTTGCGGCAGGCGGCGGGGGGTTGGAGGGGGTTGGAGGGGCTGGTAGGGGGCTTATATGCTTTCGTGTGGCATGTTGGCGGGATGGAGGGCTGCTGCTCACCTGGTGGCGAGGGTTTGATGCATGCTTGTGGGGTTCTGCTCTGAGGCGGGCCGTGGCAGCGTGGCAGGAATGCAGAGATGGTGCGGTAGGTCCGAAGCATTTTTGGGCAGCTTTGGTGCATTGCGGTCGTTGCTTATCCTTCGTCGTAACCCCGAGAAACTTCGTGAGCTTAGCTAAGGATTGGATTAGGATTGTTACAAGATCCCGCGGTCGCCCGCTCTTGGAGCCATCCAGGCTCATGGGATATGACTGGGTAGCATCAGCATTGTGTGACAGAGATTCAAGGGGCCACGGTTCGCCGTTTGAAGCAGGCGTGCACAAAGGCCCCAAGTGTATGCTGGTCCGCACTGCGCACAAGGCTGGGGTCAGCACCACATTCTGTCAATATTTTCAACCCTTCAAAGCAGGGTTGAACGAATGAAAGTAAGGTTCAGCAGTCGGGAAAAGTTGAACAACCAACTCCCTTCTGACCTCAATCGCCCGGGGACCACATGTATGAGTCCCTGATCCAGTGCCTGGCTGCGCGCGTGCGACTGCGGCCGTGGCGCGCGTAATGAAGGGCGCCAGCGAGCCAGGCGCTGGTGCAGGTCACAGTCGTGGCAGGCCTGGGCCTGTGAAGCGCGGCACTCACAGCTGCAACTTGTTAGAATTGTCTACTGGGCTGTGATTGGGGGTGCATGTGCGGGCTGTCATGAGCGCGCCTGAGGAGGGGGTGCATGGATTAGGATTAGGATTGTTACACGATCCCGCGGTCGCCCGCTCCTGGAGCCATCCAGGCTCACGTATGGGATGTAGCATTGTAGCATCGATATCAGCGATGTGTGACTGGGACTCAAGTGGCCAACGTTCGCCGTTCATAGCAGGTGTGCACAAAGGCCCCACAAGTTTGCAAGTCTGCGCTACACAAACGGGCGTGCATGCGGGCATGTGCAGGCAGGTTCACAAACAAGGGTGCAAAACGCGGCGCAGCATATTGCATGAGTCTATCTACAGTTTCCCTGTGAAGCTGAGCATCTGCAAAAATGCACCAGTGCCGGGTGCTCTTGACAAGGAAGCCCATGGCGGCATACAAGTGTAACAGCAGTAAGCAGACTAGGCTTTCACCCGCGGCCAAGGCGCCGGGAGCCTCAAGAGTGCACAGCAGCAAATACGTCCAATCCCGTGCGTGTGAGTGTGTGCGCGAGGCGACCGGTGCGCCTCGACTACAAACTCCGAGAAGGTGACGTTCGCGGGCTGTGATAGCTATCACACCGCAATAATTTGAAAAAAAAATCACCGCCAGCAAGGCCGGCCAGATAGGTGGGCGGTTTTGGATTTTCTTTGACCGCGCGGGGCTTCCAAACAGCCCCAAGGCTGCAATTCGTTGTCGCGTTGTGCAAAAAATGTATAATCGATATTTATGCTTGCCTCTCGTGATCACGCGAGGCGCAGCTCCTGCCGGAGGAGCGGAGATATCTTGCCGAAGGAGCGGATCTGTGCATTCAGGAGTGCTCAAGCCCCGCATGGGCACCATGAATCACAAAAGAGCTTTGGTTCTGCTCATGATATGTTCCTGCGCAGCGATGTGCATGAGTCCGGCGGCTGCGCTCACTCAGCGGCTAAAGGTCCTCGTCCTCTCCACGCCTGGTGAGGCGGCAGACAGGCCTGTGTATGGAGCCCAGCTGAGGGGAGGTGGCGTTCTCTACACAAACATGATCAGGAGCCAGGTTTCATCGCCAATGCACCTTCAGTGCTCTGCTTCAGCAGCAGTGGCTCTGCCTCGGGAGGCTCTAATTTGCCTCGAATTTCGAGGCAAAATCTGCGCCACGAGCGGCTGCTATTTTGCAAGGCGCTGTAGGCGCGCGGCCAAGAATAAAAAACAGTCTTTTCGGGTGCGATTCCCGACTCGCGACTCACCCCGTCCGTACCCTGTGCGCCCCCCTCCCTACCTCAAGGGTTTGTTGGCACCGACTTTCTTGAGGCCACGATGGACGGCCTGGGCATGCCCTATGAGGTTGTGCGCGTGGACAGGGCGGCGGCGCAGCCCCTCAATTTCACCCAGCTGCTTTGGAACCCCGACGGCTCCGCGCGCTACGCCGGCTACTTTATGTGCGCGGCGAGGCTCATGCGCGTGCAGCCTTGGGTGCTTGCAGGTGTTGGGTACATGCAGCTCACATGCATATGGCAAGGGGCCCGGCCGCAGCCTTGGCAGGGAAAATCCTTCACGATGATCCCTTCACAAACAAACACGGTTGCTGCATCGTCTTCAGGGCGCCCAACCTGGAGGCTATCGGCGTGCTCAACAAGTCGGACGTCCTCACGCTGTGGGACTTCCAGCTGCGCACCGGCGCGCGCAGCGCCAGGTTTGGCGTCTGGCCCGGGGTGAGTTGACGCTCGCAACTGGGCGGCTGATGCGGTGGACAACCCTGTGTCCTCACCAGCACTTTCGTGCGCTCTGCGGTCAGCTTGCATGCGTGCTGATAGCTCTCCTGAATGTCTTTCTCACACTGGCACGACCTACTAAAGCCACCACCGCGCGGAGCTTCCTGCAAACTGTGTCCATCCCCTGGGGCCATTGTCACCCCCTTCCAGAGCATCGGCTTCGCTGCCAACCTTGCATCCTGCAACGCGGAGGATCGCCCGATGACTTTCAGCGCCGCGGCGACCACTGTTATCGGCGCGTCGGGCATCAACCCCTCAGCGACCCTGGGGAACGAGGGCCTTTGGAGGTGCGATGTATTCCAAGGGCGTAACCGTGCATCCTCACTAATCACTAATTCTTGATCGTTCCTGCTGCACATCATGCAATGTCACCCGTTTTGTCACCCGTGTCGCCAAAAATACCTGTAGCCTGGCAAAATACAGTACGGTATTAGACACAGTGGGTGACGGAAATGTTCGATTCATCAGTGCATCGATCGCGATATTGACATGCTGCACGATCTTTCCGCAGAGTACGTAGCTGCACGCGCACACCGCCGCCCGCTCGCCGCACCGACCCGCCGCAGGTGCCCCTTCGCCAAGGCCTCCGCAACTGGCTCTTGCCCAATCTGCGCTGCGGACTTTGCGGGCGACTGCCTCAACCCCAGCTGCACGGCAACACAAGTCCTCGACTTTGCTGGTGGCGCCACCGCGGGCGGCGCCCTGGTCAAGTATGCTGACGGCCGCGAGTCCCTGGCCTTCATCTTCGACTGCGCTGCCTTCAGCCCAACCTGCATGGTCCTGGGCCACCTGTCGTTGAGCTGGCTGCTGCATGACATCATCCCGGGGCAGAGGGACGTCCTGCTGACAGTGCACCAGTGAGGGGCCAAGAGGGGGCGGCATGCATTCATGCTGCTGGCGGCACTGCATTGCTGCCGCGTGCTGTGTGTAGCTAATGAGAGCACGTGCACGGCCTGATACGAGGAGTTGGCACCCGCAGTGGTCGTCAAGCGCGCCTCTGCAGCGCTCGCTGTCCCGCGGGGCACGCTGCATTTGGTCACGTTCTTTGGCGCCGTGCCGCCGATGTCCGCTGGGTCGCAAACTGCAGTGCGTGTTGACGTCCCCCTCAATTGATGCGAACACACGAGCACATTCACATGCACTTTTGCATGGCCCCTGACAACACCCACACGCGCATGCATAATGCTGACCTCATACGTGCCGCCCAGTGACGACATGTTCCTGGACACCGAGTTCTCATCGCCCATAACGGATGGGGGAGTCACGCGCTCCGCCTACCGCGCCACCAAAGCAGACCTGCAGGCCCACCTCGCGTGGCAGGCGGCCCTCAACGCCAGGCTGCCAGCCGGCAGCGACTTCAAGTGAGCGCCCTGGCGCCGCGGCGTATCTAGCGTCGAGGCTAAGTGTCCACGCATTGCTGCCTTCACTGGTGGCCATGATGGAGAGCCTTGACACGGCTGGAGGGGTTGGTGCCGCGCCCCTTGGCAAACCGTACATCAGGGCCCGGCCTAACTTTGGGCTCCGCCTCAGCTTGCGCTGGCCGTTCGCTGCACCCCGGCTTGCGTATGAGTGGCGGCATGGTCACCCACTCAGCACCCCTCCTTGGGGACGGGGCAGCCCCTCGCTTTATGCACCAGGCCCCTGCGGCTCCGCCACACCACTTGCCTCGCACGCGCGCCACGCGCAGGCTGGAGTTCCCTTTTAACGGCGCGGGCGTGCTGGAGGCCGCGGCGCAGGCGCTGCCGCCGGGCGCGTTCACGGCCACCCTCCTGGACATCGACGACCGCGGGTGCCTGGACCTCCCAGAATACAATACCTCAGGCTGCGGCTGCTGGTTCAGCGGGACGGCCGCCTGCTCATCGCCCTCGGCCTTCTGCAGGAACTGCACCAAGGCGCGTGCGGCAGGCTGGCAATGAATTGCAGGGCGGGAGGGGTGAGGGAGGGTGAAGGCGGTGGGGGGCAGACTGGGGCCGGAAGCAGTTGCCAGAAAGAGGGCTGCTGCTCGAAATAGGGCGCAACAAAGCGTCACTGCATTGACACCCTGCTTTCAAGGCCAGCGTTCACCGTCAACGGCACGGACCGCAGCACAGTCGAGCTTATGCTGAGAAGCTGACGCGCCACCACCCTCACCGCCATGCCCGTGCAGGAATGGGCCAAGCCGGCTGGCTTTGGATCCAACCGCGTCGGCGCTGTGAGCAGCCCAGCTTTTGGGGTTGGCCTGTAAAAACCTGCAGCGGCAGGCTGTGGACACTCAATCGCCACTGGTCTTGAGGACACTGATACAGATTTGTGCATCAATGCATGGATCACTTCAGAAGGCAACAGGTCCAATACCAACCACCTTGCTCTTGGACCCAACCCGGCCACCCCCAGGGCGCCCTGGCCACCGTGTCCACCTGGAGCCTGGCCCAGATCAGGGCCGGTGACGCCCTGGCCGACTACGTCATCAGCGACCCCGCCGCGACCAGCGGCTTCAGCTGGTGCTCACACACCTTCTCGCACCAGGTGCACACGACACCAGAGGCTAGTCCAAGGAGGGGTTTCAGCAGCCATGGCTAGGCCAGGAGCTCCCCAATCATCTGTCTGCTCAGCGGTTTTGTTCCCCAACCTTTGGTTGACACCTCTCGGCATGGCCGCCACTGCACTGAACCCGCCGCCCAACCCCACCGCCGCACTGCCCCCAGAATCTGGACAACGCCACCTCCTACGACACAGAGATGCAGATGAAGCTGAACCTGGCAATGGCGGGGCCGGTGAGGGTGCAGCCAAGGGTTTTTGTTTGGTGCAACCGAGATTTCTAGCATTGAGAGACGTGCCTTGTTACAGATTAGCAGTCCATAGAAGGAGCAATGAGGTCGGCCGTTCAAAAAGCTGGGCCTCCACCTGACTGCTGGTATGAGCGTTACAAGTTTCTCAAGGAGACGGCGCCCAATCGGCTGCACGACCAAGCCCGGCCACAAGTTTTGACTCCGTCCAACAGCATCCATGAAGATTCGCGTCGTATTCACCCTTGCCCCTGCCTTGCCTGCGGGTGGATGCAGGCCTTCCTCGGCCTCAGCACCAAGGCCTCCTGGAGCGGCCGCTCCATGGTCACCCCCCAGATCAGTGGCCTGCACAACGGCGACGCTCTCGCCGCCCTGGCTGCCAACGGCATCACCTGCGTTACTGGCGACAACACCTGGTGAGGCATCCAATCGCGTAGTCCCAGAAAGATGTTTCGCGGGGCTGGCCCCTGAGCTGACGAGCTGGTGGTTGCTGCCATCTGTTCAGGATGTCTGCTTCGTGCCGTCAGCTGAATACCCCCGCCTCGCCCTGCTGGTGTTCATTCTTCAGGCCCTTCCCGCTGAACGAGAAGCAGCCCTACCACATGCTCTACACCACGGCAGCGACCAACGGTTTCGACGGCATCGCCATCATGCCCAGGTTTGCGGGGAGGCCTATTTTTAGCACCTGCCTTGACCTTGTGGTGCAAGTACGTGCCCCGGCCCGTGATTAGCACGAGTTTGTTGTACACATACACCTGAAGTTCTACAATACACCGCCACGCAGTTTAACACACGGCCATCGCCGACTGCCTTTCCCCACCACAATACTCTGCTCACTGCTAACAAACCCCCCATGCGCCACCTTTGCCCCAGGTCCGCCACAGAAGTGTGCTACAACTGCACCACCGCCGCCCAGAACCTCGACCTCTACAACTTCCTCTACTTCAAGGTGTTCAACAGGGACTCCACCTTTGACGAGGTGCTGGCGCGCGAGGCCGTCAGGGTGGTGCGTGATGGGCTGCTGAAGCTGCGCCATGACCCCTACATGATGGTGAGGCAGCAGTTGGTGCTGCAGCACAAGACCGGGCAGGCTGGGGGCTGTCTGCGCTTCTCCTTGCCTCCAATCCACCGCTGCCTGGGCGGCCAGACAAGCTGTGTGGTCTGATCGGTCCGACAGCCTTTCGATGCCTGCACTACCTTCATACCTTGGAGATGATCATCCACACCCTTGGCAAACAGCAATCCCTGCCCTCCTCTGATGGGCCCGCAGCACCAAGCCAACCTCGGTCTCGTCGACTCTTCTGGCTGCTCCCTCGTCATGCGTTGGGTCGACGCCGTCGTGGCGGAGTTCACCAAGTACACCAATTGGCCCCTGAGGTCTGCAAAGCTTGACGACCTCAGGGCCCTCTTTGAGGCCCGCGAGGCGCGCGATGCTTGCAAGCTCTCATACCAGATCGAGACCAGCCCCTCCGGCACAGCTACGGCTGTGACAGTCTCCAGCGCTGCGGCAGCGTCCGGCGCCAAGTGCGACGCCCCGTTGATGCTTGGGGCCGGCGTCAGCGGTGCGGCCGCGAAACAGGTCATGATCCCCCTGGTGTCAGGGGGCTCGGCGAGGGTGGAGCTAACAGGACAGCAGTGGAATGCGTTCACTGTCGTGCGGCCTTGCTCACCGCCATGCCTCAACGGCGGCGTCTGCAACACGACAGTGGGCGTTTGCGACTGCACCGGCACAAACTTTGCGGGCGCCGACTGCTCCACAGCTGGTGAGTTATTGCTGCAGAGGTTTGCTTCAACACATTTCCGCTTCAGATTCGCAGTGTGTTTCAAGCACCACCAGCCGCGGCGCTGCCACAAGTTGTGATGAATGCTGCGCGCTGGCCATGTGTTGTTTGGTGTGTATCATCAGCCCAAGCGTTATCATGAACCAGCTGCATCATTCCCTCTGCCTGCCTCTCACGTCTTTTTGACCCGTACATTCAAATCTGAATGCAAGACGCCGTCGCAGGGTGCACGGCTGGGAATTGCGCCGCCTGTGTTGCAGGCTCTGCGACAACATGCGCCGTATGCAGTGCCGGGTACACACTTGCCAACGGCGAGTGCTTTTTGAGTGAGTTGCGCAACTGCTGGTGTCAAACGGCACCATAGTGGTCCACCTGCAGATGCTGACGGTGCCGTCCTGAAGTTTGCATGTGATCCCAATCCAGGCCACGTCACTCCATGGTGACACCATTGACATGCAGCCATCCGCACACTACTTCAAATGTGGCAGGTGGCCGCCAACTGCGCCGTTGGTGTCGGGCGGCCAACTGCGCCTCGTGTGCCGCGGGCTCCTCCACAACATGCGCCACATGCAAGACTGGCTACACCCTAGTCAACGGCCAGTGTTCTCTCAGTGAGTAGCGCGGCTCCTTGTTTTGCAAACTTATGTTTTGTGCGCGCAGCTGTGGCTGCTGGGCATGCAAGCATACTTGGGGCAAAATCATGTGGCATCCAGCCAAGCTGCATCACTTGAGGGATGATTTCAAGGCGCGTATGCAACCACTTGCAATGCTTGCGCACTATTTGCAGTATGTACCGCCGCCAACTGTGCCTCGTGTGCAGCGGGTTCAGCTACATCATGCGCCAAATGCAAATCCGGCTACACCCTCATCAGGGGCAGTTGATACTTGAGTGAGTGCAACTCTTGGAGACACGCCATCAACCTGCACACCAATTTCGGCATTAAGGCGCCGACTGTTTCCTCCG